AAAGAACTAAAGCCCAACTGGCAACCTCACGAGCAGCTTTTCACCCCGGCCCAGTTTTATTGAGCAGAATAAGCTGGCACGACGTGCCAGTGTGAGCCACCCGCCCCTTCGCCTTGCTCCGTCCACATGGCCCGGATCCTCCTCCAGTGCAAATCCGGGCCACGCCACCAACTTTGGGGAGCAGGCGAAGCAGCACAGGGAGGGTGGGGGAGAGCAGGACTCCCTTCTCCCTCCGCTCCCAGGCTTGGGTAAGCAGTGCTCCCCCCCTCCATGGGTGGGTCCGGGAAGAGGGCTGCCCCGCTTCCGCTCTGATCTACACTTACCGCTGGTGATGCTGCTCTACGCCAGCTGAGGGTCCTGCCCCATGTGTTCCCCATTAGGGGTGTGAGGTTATCAGCCCATCAGCAGCTCCAAGCACGCTTTGGGGGGCTGTGATAAATAACCATAATGAACGGAGCAGTGACAGCCCGCAAGGAAATATTGCTCTCCCAGCACGAGATTGACATTGTAAAGAGGGGTGGGGGGGGCGGGAAGGAGGTGCAGGTGGGGGGGCTGGCGGGTATTTTTCCTCCTGCCTTAAAAAAACCCCTGTGAAATAAAAGTTATAAATCTAGCGTGTCAGGAAAGGCCCAACAATATGTATCTTTGTTTGGTAACGTCCCTCGCCTAGGAACTGGCCTGGCTCGGGGGCTGCTCTGTGTGCACAGGGATGTAATGAAATATGCCCACCTCAGACCTGAACTACCGCCCTCCCGACGGCCAGCTCCACCCTCAGGATCATTAGGGGCCTGGCAGCTAGATGGAAACACGGCGCTCCCACCTCGCCGGCCTTGCCCTCCCATGCAGCCAGCCGGGAAGGGCATGACTTGCAACCCGTGTTCCAGCAGGGCCTGGGCGCTGGCGGTGTAGGTGGTGCTCATTCCAGAGGGCAGTAAGAAGGATTTCTGGAAACCTGACAAGATCTCAAAAGCTGGGCCCAGCCTCAGACCTGCCGAGCACTTGACGGCTTCTCCGAGTGTCAGGAGCCCGGAGTTAGTGGGAGAGGTAAGAAAGGAGCCCAGAATCAGGGCCCAGCTGTGTAGATGCAGGCCTAGGCCCAAAGTCACAAAGTAAGTTAGGATGAGCGCTTGTTGTGGAACCCAGGCGTCCCTGGCTCTAACCGTTAGATCTCCAGAGTAGGAGTGGGGCACAAGGCCATGCAGTGAGTCAGTGGCAGAGATGAGACTGGAACCCAGGAGTCCCAACTCTCAGTCCCGCAGCCGGAACCACAAACTGAGGATGAGCTGAAATTCCCACATACAGGAGGAGAATGAGCCGGTTAAAGGGCCCACCCATGCTCAATTAACGGGGTGCGGCTGCACTGGTGTTCCTGGGGCAGCTCTGGTGCCATGGCCCATAATCCCTGAGGACGTGGGGCAGGTCCACTCTCTGGGCTGCTAAAGTCACTAGGGAAATAGCTCAGGCTTGAGGCATGGCACACACCAGCGGTGCTTTCTGACTGGCCGCCAGTGATGTCACTCACAGCCGTGTCATCAATGGGCACAGGTGCCACTTTCTGACTGGCCACCAGTGATGTCACAGCCACGCCACTAATACCCAGGAAACGCCTCCCTCTGGTGTCTTTCCCCTTTGCAGATTCCATCTCGTGCCAGGCCTCAGACGCTCCCCGTGATTAGCTGCTCTTCTTGGGTGGTGAAAGCACGTTGGCCCCCGGCCCCGCGCGATGCATATGGTATAATTGCCCAGGAATGCGTGGCCCCCAGGGGCTCTCCCCAATCCAACACGCACTTGCTCAATTAGCTGCTGCTTCTCACACCGCGGATAAGAAGCAGCCGGTCGCCCGGCCTCCCCTTTACTGCTGGGAATGTGCTGCAGCAGGGGCCAGTGGCTGGCTCTCTGAAGCTGCCTGGGCCTGGCTCTTCTCTGTGCCAGCCCTCATGCTCTTTGCCCACCCAGTCTGTCTGCAGAGGCCTCCGGCCACCTGGCTGGGTGCTGCAGGGTGTGGACCTGCCCTGCGTGGCTGTGGAGCCCACATAGACAGTTTTCATCAGGGTGAGTCCGCCAGGGCCCGGGTGCAGAAAGGAGATGCACTTTCAGGCTGGCTGGGCCAGCAAGAGAAGCCCAATGGGCTGCCGTGTCAGGTGACTGAGTCTGGGTCAGGAGCCACCCCTCCCTCCGGGGCCCACAGAGCCCGAGAATGTCTAGAGAGGGACACATCCACGGGCCAGGCCCTCCGCCAGTGCAACCCCGCCCGTCCCTGTCTCCTTGGGGGCCGGAGACCAGTGCCCATGTCACACAAATCGCCTTCATGACCACAATGGGCACTGACCGGCCCCCTCCACGGCACCCCCAACAGGAGGCAAAGCACTGGATGGGCTGCAGAGCCTGAGCGACCCACCTGTGCTCCTAGGGCCTGCATGGAGCAAGCAGTGCCCGTTGGACCTGCCCTGTGGATGCAGGCCCCAGGGGCTTCGACTCGGCACCAAATCCACACAAACCCAGGGAGCCTGGGTGGCGCATGTACCGCCGGCTGGGTACAGACCAACCCCAGCCCAGCCCAGCCGGCCACCAGCCTGGCCCATGGGTGGTGATTCACCCCAGCCCAGCTCCATGGGGCTCGTTCTGTCTGTGCCTATGAGCCTCTCTCTCCCCTGACACAGCTGGTCCCTACCAGGCTGGACTCTCAGCAGTGGTAGCACTCAGGCCACATGCCTGGCATCCTGCACCAGCGGCCGCTGCCAGGTTCCTTTCCTCCCCCAGACCTGCCCTCAGCTCCCGTCGATCCCAGCCGGCCCCTTGCAGGACAGAGCCCTTGTGACTCAGCAGGTTCCAGCAACAGGGTCACTGTGGTGTCGCCAGCCGACGCCTGATTCACACTCTGCTCTGGATATTCAATAGCTGCTTTCCCCTGGCTTTCCGTCCCTTTAACGGAGGCTCCATTACTTTTGATGTGAGGCTGAGTAAAAGCCATTCACTATAACTGAACAGTGCATGGTCTGTCTGTCTGTCTGTCTGTCCGGACTAGGCTGTTGCTCTGTCTGAGGGAGAGAGGAAGCTGCTGCCGGGAAGGCAATAACTGGAAATCAACTCACTGGTACTAAACTAGCCCCCACTAGCTCCCGTCCTCCCTGCTCCCCCCAGCTGATTCACCAGAGATTTGGCTCAGCCTGGGAAATGGAACCAGGCCTGTTGCACTTCCCTGGGGCTCGTCCACCCAAGGGTCTCATCCCCTCATTAATTAACGCAACCCTCACTGTGATAATTTCACCTGCCACTGAAATGCAGCCAGCTCTGGGGTGGAACGTGGCACCTGTTGAACAGCTCACAACAACACCACACCACAGTTTTAGGACAGGAAGTGAGAGAGAATATTGTTGGCAATTGCATTTGCAGTGGGGTGGGGGCAGCGTGGGATGACTTAGGGCCCCAGTGGAATGGAATAGGCAATGATTATTGCTTTATTCTTGATTGCTCCCAGCATCTCCCATGGGTACTGCTCACCCAGCTGGTGTGAATCCAGGGTGCTCCTCCACCTGTCATTTCACTGATGCCCTTGTTAGTTCACTAGGAACGTGCAGGGTGTGCGCTTCTGTTCTCCGTCTCATCTATCTCACTAGCATGCTGGGAAATGCCTGGGGCCTTAAGAGTTAATCACCGGAATCAATAATCATCTAGTCCAAAGGAATCGCACGGAACGCCTGACTCACGCACCAATGCTCAGTACTTTGTGCTCCCCCCTAACATGCTTTGGCCCTGGCTGGAGAGGGAAGATCAGAACCGCTTAGCAGAGGAAGGCAGCAGCTGCCCAGCTGTTCAGGTGCCCTTTGCAGCAGAGAGCTGCATCTGAGAGGCCTGGATACGAGATGCCTCGCTCCCTGCTTCCCCTGCTGTGCGAGCGGTGCCACCCAGCTGCAAAGGGGTGCATCCCTTAACGGCCACCATGCACCCTGGGTTTGGCTGGCGCGACCAGTCAGCGCAGAGGATGTCGTACTTGTGGACAGTGATGCCAATATAAGAGTGTCGGGCCTGTACCAGGAAAGGCGCCTTCACCCAAACCCTCCTGTCATGCATCAGCTGGTCAACCTCCAGAGCCCCGCCCGGGCCCTCTTGCAAGATGACTGCCCCATAACAGAGCATCTCTGCTAACTAGGAGACTCCAAGACACGAGATGGGCAGGTTGCCCTGACATCTTCTCTGCCTTTGCATTCCAAGCCGGGAAATGCAATACGCCCCTGGAGGCTGCGTGACAGAGCTCTTCGGTACCATGCAGCCCCTGGCCTGGGCCTCAGGCAGGATTTGTCCTGACCATCTACTCTTCATGGTTTTCCCTTGTCCTGTTCTGAATGACTCAAATGACGGGGCTCCCACCACTTCCTTTGGGAGACTGCGTCTGGCCACGTTTCGGATGCGCCGATTGCCTAGTACCTAGACGATACACTTGGCTTATAGAAAGGCACTGGCAGGGGACAGCCAGTTCTCCGCCCTTCTCTTGGTTTATCCAGCACATCCCACTGCTCGACAGACCCCCACGCGAACCTGCGCCCTCCACTTCCCATTGCCTCATTCCCGCCTCCGGCCCCCCCGGCCCCGTTCCTCGCCCCGCAGCAAGTGAGCGGAGGTGAGAGTTCATGCCCAGGGGTGATGCCAGCCCCAGCGCGGACTGCGCTGCAGGACAGCAGGCCTGGCTGCACCATCCTCCCGCCAAGGGAACCCCTGGGCACGCTCATCCCAGGGCCCCTCGGGCAGCCCTAGTGCAGAAAGGGTCCCTGGGGCCTTGTTCCAGCCCTGCTGGGCCCCGGCCCCGGCTCGCTGCTTCTCCAGCAGCAGCTCCAGCGCAGACCCTGCAGCAGGGATGCATGTGGCACCGTTGCATCCCAGCAGCTCCAGCGCAGACCCTGCAGCAGGGATGCATGTGGCACCGTTGCATCCCCTGCTGCCCGCCCCCCCCCCTTCTCCTCCCCCCGTCTCTCTCCCAGGCTCCCTCGCTCTGTGCAAAGCACGTCACGGGGATACAGGCACCGCCGGGCACCGCGCGCTCCCTCTCCCCGGGCTGGTGCGCTGCAGCCCCGCACTGCGAGCGGCCGGGGGGAGCCATGCAACGCGCCGGGATGGCGGGGCGCGGCCCCCTGCCCCTGCTCTGCCTCTGCCTGGCGCTGGGCTCCGCCGCCGGCTCCCAGGCTCCCTTCGCCCCGCCGCTGGGGGACATCGGCGCCTGCCAGCAGCGCTGCGGCGCAGCCCGGGTGAGTGCGGCGGGTTCGAGCCCGGCTCTGCCCGCCTGGGAACCGGGGGGGGGTTAGAGGAACAGATTTGTCAAGGGGGGGGGAGCCTGTGAGCAAAAGCAAAACCCGGGGGGGGGGGTGGCGTCCATCTTCCAGTGTCTTTGCATCGTGCCGGGGGGGCGCCAGCCCTGCTGTCTGAAGGGGGGGGGGG